CATTTAGGTATTTGTGATACATTTGGTAATCCCTTACCTTAGCTGTTAATGCCATCATCAGGTCAAAATTGTAATTTTACCAAATACCTATAAAAGTAATGACATTATTCATGTCAGCGCAGTATGTTGTGTTTATTGATTTAGTATGTTCATTGTTAGTATGCTTACATGCTAAACCAAGATGGCAAACATGATTAACATTATACGTGCTAAACATCAGCATGTGAACCCTCTCCTTTTTTTAAACAAGCAAATCAAAAAATCTGGCTGACACTACCAGCTTCCTCTAGTCATGTCTTTAGTGAGTCCTCCCTAATAGTTTCTCCCCCCCCCCACACACACACATTTCTCCCAATCTGGTATGGCCAGCTCCCTGTGCACTATGCTGCTGACTCCCTCTGTTGCCCTGGAGCTGGGGAGGTTACAGACAGCTACATGTTTCCTCTAATGTAGCCTACATGGAGTTGCTTCTCCTGCCGGGGAGCAGCTTCATTACAAGGGAGTATTCACCACCAGACTACACCCCTCTTTGTATAGGTGCTCCTAGGGCTGCATAAAGGACATGATCCCTTACCAGCTTCCCATTTCTCAATACTTGAAAATGTGTTTGCCAGAGCACCTGATCAAGCCAAAATTGCTCTTGACTGTATTGGATTAATTTCACTTTGCTGCAAATGGCCCATTACTTAGTTGCTTACTGTAGCTCACATTTAAACCCAGTTTTGTTGTCTGTCTGTCTCTTTTTAGGCTAGACTGTCCCCAGTTACAAGTGACAGAGGGTTGAGGACAGACAGTTGTGTTCTCAATGTGAGCGCTTCTATCTACGAGGAGATTCAGCATGAGATGAAGAGAGCCAAGGTGTCTCAGGCTCTGTTTGCAAAGGTGGCCGCCTCCAAGAGTCAGGTACCTGCTTGCTTACCGATGCGAATGTGATGAAGATGTCCAATCTTAAACACACACATATTGCTCCCAATCGTTTCTAATGCTTAATTGTTCAAATTTAGCTTCCCTGATGAATCCATCTCCTCAGTTAAAGCAGGGGTGGCTAGTGTGTGCGTGGAGGGAAGCCCAGATAATCAACCAGCAGCTGTACTCTGCAGAGGACTATCATCAGTGCATCAGACTGCTATTGTGTCCTAAATTATCACTTTAATAGTCACCATACAAAATCACACACATACGCACCACGTATTTGTGCACATAGACATACTGTACAAGCACACCCATGTACATGCAATTTCTCAAATACACACGGGCAAACAAATGCACTAATACACGCGTACACACACAGGCATGATTTGAGTGTTTATTGTTCTCATTTTTATGGCGGCCCCATAAGCTTGTTATTGCCTTTTGTTTTGAGGATAATTTCCCTTCATGGAATGGGGGGATTTTAGCTGTCTCATTTTCTCTTCCTCTCGTGCATGTCTCCAATTTTCACTTTTCTTTCTTTCTTTCTTTTTTCCTTTCTTTCTCCCTTCTCTCTACTCATCTACTCATCGTAAAGATGTTTGGAGGTCATTCAGCGGTCATGCCAGTACAGACAGGTGGTCCAAAACCCCTGAGGTTCTTTTTCTATCTCTTCGTTGGCCTCTCTTTTTACTTTACTTTCTCTATGTTCTCTTTACCTCTCTCTTTCTCTCTCTCTCTGTATTACCCGGCTGTTTGGCAGGCAAAACCACGCTGGATCTCTCTGTTCTATCTGCACTGTGCATCTGGATGGCATTGTGTGCTAGACTTGGGCTACAGCCAGGTGTATGTGTGCGTGTGTGTGTGTGTGTGTGTGTGTGTGTGTGTGTGTGTGTGTGTGTGTGTGTGTGTGTGTGTGAATCTGTGTGTGCGCACCAGCGTTGCTTGCAAACGTAATCATGCTCCAGTTCATGGATCTGAAACTAGCTTGGCTTTGCCCGCCTCAATCTGCCACTCACAAGTTTCCTCCCTTGTGATGCAGAAAAAGATTCTAGCTAATGAGAAAATCTCTCCATCATCTTTTGGCTTTGCCATTAGATGATCTTCAAACCTGATACTTTATTTCTTAGCTTTGTATATTGAGAGCAAACAATAAATAGACTAAAAGTTTTACGACATGAACCTTTTTTGGATGAATTTGAAAAGTAAATTATTGTGAATTTATAGTGTATAGAGCTTTGTAGTCTTTGCCACTTATATGTTATTAAATTCTAATTAGTACAAAATAAATAGGAGTGTGGGTGTATGCAGGGTGACATGAATTAAATCCCATTGTATAAATTTACATGGTGTTGCTATGGCAATTTTAATGTCCCAGCAGCAGAAGTTCACACTATAGAATAGATCGAATTATTGGATTTTGCTAATATGCTGCTAAAATATGCTCAAGAAAGAGTAATTAACTGGCTTTGTCTTCGCACTGAAGTAGCAGCAAAACATGCATGCAGACACATAAACATAAAAATAAAAAATGCATCCTTTCTTAAGTAGACAGAAAGACCTCAAGATATTGATACTCTGAAATATATTAGGAATAGCTTGTTGATGTAGAAATATCTTCTAATTAATTAACTAATTAACAGAATGACTGACGTAATTAGCATTCCTAATGAATATGTTTTTATTATATCGTGGCAATTATGGCAGGACATTAGGCAGCTCAACATTTTTGTTATAACTTTATAGTTAATCACACAAGAGATATTTTTCTCTTTACTTCCTCTTGCTCTGCTGAGTTGTCACCTCAGGTCAGATCTTCACCACAGGAGCTTGCTGGGTGTCAGGGTCATGTTTAAGGACACGCCAGAAGTATTAATGTGTGCTGACATTGTGACCTCTGAGTGAAAGAAAGGTAATTTAATGATCACAGAGCATCTTTGTGTGCTCACAGTAGGTTAGCTAGTCAGCCCCTTGAATGTTCTTCAGGATAATACACACTTATATCTGCTTATAAATACATCATAGCGTATTATAAACCATTTATTAAATATTTATATACTGCTTATAAATGCTAAACAGGGGGACCTAATGTGTTACCTCCTCCTGCAGGGCTGGCTGTGTGAGCTGTTGCGCTGGAAGGAGGATCCCACCCCAGAGAACCGGACCCTGTGGGAGAATCTGTGCATGATCCGCCGGTTCCTCAGCCTGTCCCAGACTGAACGAGATGCCATCTATGAACAGGAGAGCAGCAACACGACGGCACAGCAGCACTGCACTGACAGGCTTACATTGATCAGCAATGACAATACACTGGTGAGACCACAACAGCAAGATAAACACAATATCTTTACACACAGACTGCTGTTCCACACAGCTAGATATAGAAACATTGTAAACAACACATTTTACTGGAGAGGTCCTTAGAACTAGAGCTTGAGGAGACCTGGCTTTAATTTTTGAAAAACACTTAATATATTTAAGTTATATATTAAAAGTTTATAATACATCTTATAAATTTTGAATTAAAATAAAATACATTACATTTAATGGCAATAGATCTCTAGAGTGTGCAATGGAAAAGCACCACCGTAATGACAGCTAAATGCCAAAAATGTCAGAAGAAAAGATGATTACCACATTAAGCAATGATCCGTGAGACTGATTAGTTATTTTTCTTTCACTTCCATAGCTCGTGCATGAATAGATGGCTTGATTATAGCACAGACTCACAGTTAACATGTCAAAAAATGGCTGTGTATCCCCCGGTTTGTGAAAGTACAGTAAACTACGTGAAATATATTGTGTTAATAGCAAGACAAGAAGACTTCACATGTACTTCGATGGTTGAATTGCAGGCCACCTCACGTGTGAAACCTCAGCAGATCCAGTTCACACAACTGAGGTCAAATGAAGGACAGAACTGCTGCTAATTTCTGCATTCAGATTATTTAGAGCTCCCATGAGAAACAAGTGAGAAGTAAAAACATAACTAACAAATACAGAAAGCAAAGCGGGTTCAGAGTCTGTTGTAAAATGGGAGCCATTCTAATCTCAGTGATTCAGTGTTTGTAATTTGGAGATGGAAAATTTGATGCCAGTTCTCTTTAATATACTGTAGGTGTCTAAAATGAACGTAGTGACTATATTTCATTAAGCAGTGAAGTAAATTTTCATATAGCCACTACTTTTTAAATAGAATCTGCAATAAAATATGCAAACAAAGAAGCAGAAATTGTTCCTTATTAGTAACACTTATCACTTCAAATCATACAAATATATTTCTGTCTGGCTGATTTCACATCATCTACCATTAAAATCCATTTGAAACCATTAAAAATCCACATTAACACAATGGAAACTAGTTGGCGTTAAAAATATAAAATCCAAAAGACTAAGTGCGTATTTTTACCATAATTGCTTCTAATTTCGCTTTTTCTCTTGTCAGTACCAACGCAACTCTCCGCTGCCACAGCAACACCATCTTCAACCCCATCAACCCCTGCAGCCCGAGGCAGGGCCTCACCTGTCTCCACGGCAACCATGTGCTGCATCACCGGCCGAATCTGAGGCTGGGGGTAACTGGGGCCACATGAGAGTACGTCTGCTGGGCAGAGGCAGCAGTAATGGTGACAGAGGGGACAGTAAGGACTGGGTTGAGGGGGGACGAGGAGAGAGGAGCAGTTTGGGAGGGGACTGGGGGTGTTGTGGTAGGGTGAGGGACAAGGATACAGAGAGCAAGGAGCAGGTGAGGGATGGAAATGTGGGTGAGGAAGGGATTAATGAGGTCATTGGAGACAGCAAAGAGGGCAGGGTTAAGGAGAAGCTTGCTATGAATTGGCCCGGCGTGAGGGATGAGGACCGAGGTAGGGCTGGGGTTTCTTTAGAGGCAGATAACGAGGTCCAAGGTGGAGTTGGGGTCCAAAGCGAGGAGTTAAGAGTGTCCCATGAAGCACTGGGAATCCTGCAGAGCTTCATTCGGGATGTGGGCCTCAACCCAGACGAGGAAGCGGTCCACACCCTGTCGGCTCAGCTGGGCCTGCCCAAACACACCATCCGAAGATTCTTCAACAGCCAAGACGACAACCAGCATCAGCACAACAGCCAGAGCCCAAAACACAGCCGATACAAACAGCATGGCTGCGCAGAGCCAAACCTCTCCCAGACAGACATAACTGTGGAGGAACAGGAGGAGGATGGTGTTGGAAAGACTGAAACAGAAGAACATGAGGAGAAGCAAACAGGAAATGAAGCATGTAAGATAACTGTTTTGAAAGAATCTGATGCTGGCACTCAAACCATTCTCCTTATGAAGGAGGAGCATGAGCATGAGAACATCTAACCCAAATACATGGGTGTGTGTCCTTAAATGCTGTGAAAAGACTAAAAGCTGACTTACTGTACATGTTTATACCACAACTTATAAGGACGCGGGTGTTCAAAACCAGACACACCTACATCATACTTAGAAAGCTGTGCTGTGATTTGAGGATTCCTTCTCGACTTGAGGCTGAGAATAACTGTGGCTATATGTGAAGATAATGTTATAACACATTGTTTCTGTGTCAGTGTATATGTCTGGATGAATGGGACCCCAATACAAAGAACCTCAGATTACATATCACTGATTAAAAAAAAGTGTAATTGTAGTTGGTTGACTTATCAAAAGTTCAAGAAATGTTCACGCCAGAAATGCCTTGTGGAAAGTGGCACTGCCAAACAGTTTTTTTTAATGATCAATATCTCCATTGTTTTTGTTTTTACTCTGTTTTGGATCAGTCATTTATAAGTTCCTACTGTTATATCTTACGCTGTTCTTGTTCAGGTTTGTCTTTCACAATGTATTAAATATCAAGTTTCCTGATGCTGTTTAAAATAATATAATGAATATGCTGAATTTGTGAATAATACAAAATATTTGGAATTAACCCTTTCATAAATGACGGGGCACTGTCTGCATTTTTTACTGCAGTGCTTCATAAATCAATAGATAAAACATGGATCAACCAATCTGATCAATATGGGATATTTAAAGAGTCAATTTCTGTTCCTATTTCTCACCTTTATTGACAATGTTTTGTTGACATCTAAATCAGAGTTTACATATAGTATTTGATGCATGAATCTATAAATCTCCCAAAATAGCCACGTTTTGTTGAGTGTCATGTTTACACATCTTGTGGTTGTCATATCGTACTGTTTTATCATTGTACATACTGTAGCAGAGACAGACACAACAATGATGAAGCATTATAACGTGAACGTTCGCTCAGACACTCATTTTACAGTATGTTTACATGGGGCCTGCTGTATGGAGTGCACAATGTTTAATGTTTCTAAAGATGGCGGACTAGGAATATGACACTGAAGAGGTGCAGTCTGTATATGAAATGTTAAAATTAAAAGATGGCACTTTCATTTGTAAAAAAAATTAAGGCTAATTTATAGTTGTACTATATGTGCATTACTTCAATCTGTTGTGAGTCTCTGATCTTCTGTTTCTTTCATAACCAATCTGAGTGAGATTAATAAAAACCAGAAGCCTGGAGAGATAACTTTTAACTCTAAATTTTCTATCTAAAATTTCTGTTAATCTAACTTAAATGTTGATGATTTTGTTTGGCGGACATTTCACAGATCTCTTTCATTGCATACATTGATATTTAAATAGAAAGTGGAGACAAACAGTGAAATATGATGTTTCTCACCAGGAAACTCAGATTTAAAACCTCATGTGATTAAGTCTATGGGAACACACAGAGGCTAAAATAGCTGGGGGGGGCATCATGCTATTTCTGCTTTCTGACAAATAAACATATCTTTGTTTTCTTCCTAAGTAGCATAATATCATGACATTTACACTTTGAAGAGTATTTAGTTGGGATGTTTTAACAATATATAAAATTGGATTTGGGGACAATCTATGATATATGAGATATGAGCTAGAAAGACTCTTGGAAACAAGTAAATAAGAGATGAAGCTCATTTATCAGACTGCTATTTTAAGACAAGCAGAGGCCTGCTGTAAAAGAATCATTAAAGATTTAATCAATGGTTCTGATGTCCATTGTCTGTACCGCTGTTATAGAGTTAGTACTGATGATTTCCTCTTGTGACTATGTCGATGTTGGTGAATTGCTGTCATTGTTTCCAGCCATCAGACAATATTCTTCTGTGCTGTGTGTACCAGCCGATCGGTGTCTCTGCACAATCACATGCCCCTCAGTGCTGCCAGAGTTTTTCTATCTTGTGTCTCTTTTCTATTCTTCTTTTATTTTTATCTGTCTCAGCTGCTATTTCTATTCTGTCTCCCTCTCCACCCCCGACTCTCATCTGTGTCTTCCCGGGACTTTTTCGCGGTGCAACATTCAAGCCCCATTTGGTCAGAATAGCTTTATAGAGTAATTCAATAAAGCTATGCTCTTTTTTTGTCATCTGTTTCCATGGTGATACCTTAGTCAGGGCCAACAAAAGGCCATGAAAGCCTCATCATCAGTAATATTAGCTATAATAATGATGATAATGCTGGTCTTGAAATGCCAAGCCTGTGATGATGATGATGGTAATGGCCATGATGGTCATTATGACTGCTTTGTGTTAACCCCCCCCCCCCACACACACACACACTCATTAATGCTATATAATGTCACCAATTGTATATTAACATGGATGCCTGCCTTTTCTTATTATGACTGTCCTCCTACGTTGGTTTAGTTTGTTTTTCTGTCTTCTGTTTGGTCTGTGAGAAGCACTTTGGGATGAAGGTGTTTGATAAAAGCACTCTACAGATAAACTTGACTTGTCTGACCTCAGAAATTGCAGCAATTAAGTCTCCATAAAACTGTCTTAATTAACCCTCATGTTGTAGAGCCCCTTCAGTGTTCTTGCTTATTCAGGATGTGTTTTATTTCTCCTTGGTGGTGTGACCAACCACAAACTAGTACTCTACCAATACAGTACTTCGTTCTTTCCTTCTTTCTTTCTTTCTTTCTTTCTCCACAATCTCACCACCCATATATCTTGCTACTTTCAGATGCAAACAATGACCCTAAAAAGCCACAGATTGTGCACTGATAAAATTGTAATTGAAATTGCAATTTCCTGTGTGATTTGATCTCAGCATTCTAAAGTAGTTGGACATCTAATCATCTAAATAATCTCAAGAATTATTTTCCAAACCTGTCTAATGGGACTGACGTGTAACTAAGAAAGGGACAGTGCAAAAGACAAGTGTATGGCTGTGGTAAGCACAGTGATCATGCTCAAAGCCTACAACCTGGAAACTGATCTGAGTGATGTTTGTGGTCTATGAGTCTCTTTCTACATCGTCCAAGAGTGGAGCTATGAATAAGTCAAGCAATTATTAGAAGTATGCAATGCTTCAAATGCTGTATGTTAAATATAAATATTTGCCCAGAAGTAAGTTTCTAAAAAGTCACCCTGTTTAGGGTTTATAAATTGTAACTAATTACTCAATTAACTGTGAATATGTGATTTACTGTGGCTTTATGCTTTATAGATCAGTTATACCTATGAATATGTTTTTATTTATTTACAAATAATTTAATTTAAATTAAAAAAATCTTTTTAAAAAAACGTCATTATTACAAACATTTTAAGTCTCCTGTTGGAGGAAGATATACATCAGTTTCCACAACCTGGCAACCTTAAAGTTTCTCTAATTAATATATGACCTAAAAAGCATTAATGCGTGATTTATGCCATTTGCACCATAAACCAATTAATTTATTAACCCTGTTATAAAAAGTGGCCTACTTTGAATTTAAGTACAGCTTTATTTCACAAAAGCTAACTTTTCTCCCAACACAAACATGTGTTGACTTGATGGGTGTGAATGCTGGAAGTGTTCTTCTGTACACACAATTCTTTAGCATCGTTCTTCTAAATTCCTACCACATTTTTTATCATTGAAACTTCATTCAAACTCATTCATACTTTTCACAGGCCTACTTAATACTTAAAATATTCCACATTTTCGAAGACATTTTGTAGGGATTCATAATAATTATTGGGGCCAATAAAGTATTGGCTGATAATGGCAAATTTATATTATTATTAATTATTCTGCTAATTAATTTATAGCTGATAAATCATCAGTTGATAATAACAAAGTTATTATGCAAAATGTTTAATATGATATGTTCTATTAAGGCCAAAGTATATTTGTTAAGTTTTTTGACATTTGAAGAGAAACAGTTTTTTGTTGTGTTAACAAGTATAATGTCAGTTAGATTTGGTTACAACAGAGCTATGGGATATTAAATCATCCATCTTTGCTCACCACAACACAAACTTTGAAATGATCAGTTATCTTATCAATATCGGCCATTAGAAACAGGTAATTATTATGAAACATGCTGTGGTAGGCTATAGGGTAGGCCTATGGGATAGAGGACACACACGTGGTAGGAGTTTCGAATAGTAGTTTCGAGTCACTTTGGAATATATTTACAGACTTAATGTGATGTTTACATAGACAAAGTGACAGTGTTAAAATGTAGCACATACCTCAACCAGGGAGGGATGGAATTTCATGCAGCATGGGAGAGGCCTCCTACCACAGGTATTTATTTCCAGGGCACTGATGTGGGAATATCACAAACAGATTGTTATTTAAACACCTGTATTACTGAATTGAGCATTTGCTATTTTTCTATTAATTTATTCATAAAAAAGAACAGGAAAAAAGGGTGAAATATAGTATATTTTTCAAGTATATTTTTTGTTTACAAATCCACTGAAGAAAATTGGATGTTAGATTTGTGTATTAAAAAGGTTCCTACACAAACACTGTGAAATAATGTGTGAAATTACTCCCAGCCATAATTCATACACTTTCAGCTGCTTTTTCATACCAATTGAAGCCGGCAATTCAGTTTAGTGTCAGGATTTCAATAGATAATGCTAATTTTTCCCTCCATCTTTGTAACTTAATTTCATATACATGACAATTTTTTTTTATCATTCAAATTTAGCATGGTGGTTAATAACACCTTTTTTCGTTGGTGTGAGGAACTCATCATATCATCATATTTATCATTGCTTTACACTGACTTTAAGTATTCCACCTTTCATACATGACCAGCTCCTTGGTCACATGATCAGTCAGCTGGTCTTCAGCACATCCGCCTGACCCGCTACTGTTTACAAATCAGCAGACAGTCGGACACAGCAGAATGAGGAGTCCTGCGTGATCTGAACAGGTATCTGAGAGCCCACAGTGGGCTATGAATGACTTTGTAGCACTGCTTACACTTATACTAGTGTGTGAGTGTGTGTGTTTGTGTTAGGAGTTTGTCTCGTGGCTTGCAGCAGCTGTGTCGGAAGTGGGGACAGGCCCGTGTTTCAGCTCGGTTGCAACTTGCTAACAGCCAGGCTAACGTCACATTAGCTTACCTGCTTCCTGTCATCTGTAGTTAATGTTATATTCAGTCCTCGCTGACTAACACAGCGTGTCATTGTACGTGTATTTAGGACGTTTAGCCTTCATGTAGCATTGTTAGCCGACACGGGACACACGCTAGCTTAGCTGTTGTTTGGCGATTTGCTCTGCATCGATAATCCCGTTGGCTGTCATCACCCGTGGTGCATTCAAGACGGGCACTAGGTTCATGTAACCTCAAATTATACCCACATAAATAGTGCTGGCTATGAATTATGATGTCAGAAAGGGTAGAAAAACAGTTCCTCTTTATGACAAGTTTGCAAGCCTTCAACCTTTTCACCCGGGCTGGCCAACCTTTGCCTGACCGATTTAGTGATGGGCAGTGCAGAGGTCTGGTAACAGCTACCACCGCCTGTCTGTCTGTCTGTCTGTCTGTCTGCACGGTTTAATGCGGTTTCACACACCTCTCCACACTTCCAATAACCAGGTCAGTGCAAAAATGTGTGCAGGGAGAGTACAGTCTGCGGGCTATTGCGGATTAGAGAAAAAAAAGCCTTGGGACAAATATCAAGTGCTGTGGTGTTATACCCTTTCAACTCTCGAAAGGAGAGACCATAGTTGGTCTTTACTGCACGTCTGCACTGACACGAATATTGAGAGGAAATAGGTTGTAGGTCAGTGGAGGGGAAATGTGTGATACTTGCTGACCTGCAAAGTCTGTTCCTGAATGTTATTTAAATCTCTGTCTTGTTCATCTTTCACTGTAGGTGCTGTGGTTTGCAATATGTTTGGCTTGTGGGTTAATAAAGCAATTTAAGCAGTTATACTATTTTTGTTTTGTACTTTTTAGAGGCCCAAAAGAGGTAAAGATCCTCCAGTAATTCTCAAGAAAAAAAGATAAGATTAAAGTCTGAAAGAAATATTTTTTTTAAGCTTTCCTGTCCTGTTGATCATCTCACAATAACCCCTTTAGTTTTATCTTGTGACTCCTGGTGGGGCTCTAGAACCGCTGCTCCAGTTCTTGCATACAGACAGATATCTGTCAGATTTAATCTCTCGTCATGTATGTGGCAATTGAATCAGTCAAGACCCAGAAAATTCACGGTATTTTGCCAAGGTTAAGGTCCCAAGCATGTTCTCAGCCTCTTGCAGAGCATGTGACTGTGAAGGCTCCTGGGCTCTTGCTGCGTGCTGAAGTAGAGGCATGTGAGTTTGTTTAGCTGGGGTGTTTCACTTTGACTAAACAGCAATCTGCCGCTCCGACTGTTGCTGCCAGTGACAGCTCCTCTCATTGCCATTTCCAGTATCCTTTTTGAATATTCATCCTCTAAAGAGCCCCCTGTACTGATTCTTTTTCTGAATATATTTGACATTAGTTTGCTCTGACAACCAGCTGAAATAAAGTACTAGTGGACTGGTTCAGCAAATGACTAATGTTACTAGTTTTCCAGAGCTGAAAACAATGCTGCAGACTGTTCAGTTCACAAGAGCTTCAGTTATTCAGTCAGATGTCTCTAAAGGAAATTCTGTAGGCACTTCAGCAAAAACATTTCATACAATTTAATCCGGGTTTAGTTTCAGAATAGTTTAGCCTTTGAGACTTTAGGCCAATGAGCTTGCGGCCGGCTGAAGCTTTTCTTTGTGTTTTTTCATGTCTGCTCAACTCGAGCGTGGGATCCTTTAACATGTGGTTGTCTGGCCAATCCGTGAACAAAACCTGCCTCTGCAATTTGAAGAAGAGCTGAAGTGAATTTGAATGTGTCAACTTGGCTGTCCCCCCCCCCCCACAACTTTCTTTTCAGCTTATCTGTGGCTTTGAGATATTCTCATGACCCTAAAGAATGTGAAGCTGTGTGCCTGGCTTTGATCAAGAGGGAAAACAAAGAAAAGGAACGTTTTAGGCTCAAAAGCAGTGATAATTATGGCCCCTTTCAGATTGAGTGTGCGGTAAAGTAAAGGGAACAGGGAAGTGAAATGTTGGTTTTGGTGCACACAATGAGGATTATTACAGGAAGAGGTTCACAGCGAGGCTGTCTGACTTGTACTTGGTATGCTTCCAGTGTGCTTTACACAAAGTCCAAAACATCTGCATTGCTTCTTTTGAAATCCAGCTTGAGGTGAAAACTTTAAATAAGAAATGGTTGCAAGAACTTAACATATGTAAGAAGACAATGTAATGGCTGCAATTTGGATTTACCTTCACAGCCTGTTGTTGTAAGTCCCACAAACAGATCTTCTACCTCAGAACAGATGGACGCACTGTTATTTGTCTGTTGATTTATTTATGCATTTCATTATGTATTGATTTGATTATTTCATGAAAGATTCGTGTTTTGAATTATTGAGGTGTCTCCAGGTGCTGTGGATTGAATTATGCAGAAGCTAATTTGCCTTGATTATTATGTGTTAAAGTTGGAATGTTGTTTTACGTTCAACTCTGGGAGGAAGTAATGAAGGCAGCAGAAGGCTAAGAGAAGACTCGCTTCAGGCAAGATTGTGCTAACACAGCGAGGCCTCGAGTCTTTTACCTGTATCATCTTTCATTCACTCAAAAGGGCTTACACACACAGGACATGCCTCCTCAAAGCACAAGTCACAATGAGACATCTGTAAAGGCCTCTTTAGAGAGTTTAGAATGACTTTTTATTTTTGGAAAGAAGGGACAAAGCGCTGGATGGGCTTGCAGGTCTGTGGGGAAAAATGTTTTGAATATCTTTTGACACATTGTACAATGCAAGTTTTAGTGAGACTGTGATGATATGAAATAATATTCTGTGCAAAGTGACTGCTGTTATATTTGTAGTTGCTCAGGAGAGTTTGATACATCTTCCATGCCAATCTTTTAAAAATACAGGCTATTATTGGAGATACCTTTTCACGACACTTTTTCTATAGTTGTGGATTAGATTATTCAATGGAATAATGTCCTTTTTTATGAGGGAAGGGAGAAAAACCCCTCAGACTTAAGGAGAGCATTAGTCTTTGAGGAGAACAGATGTTTCCTAAGAAAACAGGCACATACATTATGCATATAAAATTATTTCTATTTTGATGGCGTGTGGAGCTGATTTATCAAGCGGTGTTCCATTCACATGGTTAATGGGTTTAAGAGATGCCTTTGTTGTGTTATTTCCACAATTAATAAAGCGAAAGAAAACATAATGCTCTGTGGAAGCGTGCTATTCTGTAGGCCTGTGTATTAGGCTAACCATATTCATAAACGTGGAATAATCCCAAGCCGGATAAAGAACGGAGGCAGAATTGTTTAACCTAGATTGTGTTGTCTCTCAGAGAAAGTGAAACTTTTCTCACAACTGTGATGGTTGGCAGAGAAGCGTTGGCTCAGGGTTTACCTGGTGAGGATGTTTTTCTGGTAATTTCTTTGTTGTGTTTTTTTTTTTTCAACATTTTTATTTGTAGTTGGTGCACCATTTTTTCACTAATAACAAAAAGACCTTCAAACTATCAACATTGATTACAATATAGATTTTTTTGGTCTGCTGCTCAACTGGACAATTGCGAGCTAAAATCATTATAAATTGTCACATACTCTCACAATACACAGACAAAGAAAAGCTTCAAATCCTGGCATTTTGCGTTTTTTGCATTTCAATATGTTTGCCGATACATTCTTGCTTTGATCAAATAAGGGACTAATGGACTGGTCATGGCAGTTCTAATAAATATTAATAAGAATATTTTTGTAATATCTTTTACCCATGTGTTTGTTCATTCTGTCTTGTAACAGTAGATTTGTCAGATTTCAGTTGAGTTTTTAGTAGTTGTAGTATAGACACAGCTTACACAGCATAGCATTGACACTATCTCTGTGTCGACACATATTCTTTGAGACCTATATATACAACCAATATAACACATCTCAGCTTCCCCCTGCAGAAGATGATTTTATTACATTTTGAAGCTCTGTGCTGGCTGCACACGTTTTCATTTTATGAACAACAAATATTCTCGAAACTGTAATAATTCCTTAATAACTTCAGAGACACAGTTAATACTGTCTGTGTGTTATGTGAAGGCCGTCTGTTGACATCAAAATATTTAATTAATGCATTCATTTGCCTACTTAATGACCTCATTAGCATTACTTCTTATGTTTAATATATCACAGTGAGCGTGGCGGGCCATCATGCAGCTCAAGTGCTTCTTGTTAATTTAAGCCATTCTTCACTGACTGTAATCAGTGTCACTGTTTTATTTTATGCAGCAAAGTTGTGTTAAACGCACAAGGTGAATAAAGAGCAACTTGTGTTTATGATCATCACAAAGCAAAGAACCACAAAGTTATCAGCTATATTCAGTGATAGCTATTTATGAATATGTCATGTCTACATTATATATCCCTGTTCGATTTTCATACATAGTGGTATACATGGTGAATGAGATGTAGAGCTGTATTGTGTTTAAAGGCATCAAGTCACATAATAGCAGTGGGTATTTAGTACATGACATTAGTTTTATTAGTTTTCTTTTTCTGCTGCCTAATTTTCTGTATTTTTATCAACTATACACGTGCCTTTCTATAACACCAACACCATGTTGTTTATTTCCCTATGTTCAGTTTCTTTATTGTTCCTTCTTCTTCTTGCAGAGTAATCTTTTTCTTCTGAGTCTTGGCTGAGGAGGATCACAAGACTGTGCCAGTAAGTCCTGAGATAAAAGCGCTCTAGGGTGTTTAATGTTTGTAGCAAGGGGACTGTCTGTGATTGCAGAAGATAGATTTTGCATGCAAACCTGCATAAAGAGGTCAGAGGTCAGGGTCACTCCTGCTCAAGAGGCAGAGCAGATGCCTGTCAGCACAAGCTCTGATCGAAGGTCAGTCTCCCTATCAGTAGATGTTTGTTAGTTTCAAGGCGGGGTATTGTTCTTTATCATTTAGAGTTTTTGGATTGTTTTCTGAGTTTAAAGGTCATGCATAACATGATGTAAGCTACCCAACTTTTGGTTTGTAGTTTTGGTCATCTCTAGCTAATCTCCTAGCTGGTATGTTGCGCTAAACTGTGATTTAAATTCTACTTTCTTCCCTTTTTTTCCCTGCTTTCTCTCTCAACTCCTCCCTTACTTTGTCCAGGTCAGGCTGGGTCGCGGCCATGCAGCACCCCAATTTCGAGACCCGCCACCCGCTCCAGACAGACGAGCAGCAGGAGACGGGCTTTGACCCGCTTAATAATTTC